AAATTAAATAAATAAAATATCCCTTAAACCGACGTTAGATAACAATTAAATAAATAAAATATAAAATCTAGTAACGGTCTTAACCGACACTATCTTTGTTAATAATAATAAAAATAGATGGACAACTGCATGCAATTTCAATTAATTCCAACTAAAATAAATTATATAATCAAAATAATAAATTTTAAGATCTAAATAAACATTAACGAAAATAAATAACAAGAACAGTAGTGCCAAACTGTACATCTAACATTCCACATAAAATACAAAAAGTCATCTGTCGTAACAAACACTAAATCTGACATTACAAACATAACATAAAAAAACAAAAAGATAGAACGATTAAAGTGTCATATTTAACCGACAAGAAAATGAACCAAATAAACTACCCAACCGAATCTGCACCTGAACGTCGTCCAGATCCTTCTGCTTGAGAACCTTCTCCTTGAGATCATCCTCCTTGAGATCCTCCTCCTTAAGATCCTCCATCTGATCGAAAAATCCTCGACAAGTCCACATCAAATCCAACACCCGCAAGCATTCCAGAAAACCCCCCAGCTGGAACTTTAGGACAAAATCCACTAGGAGCAGCCATCTTAGGTAGATATACTGGCACTTGATAAGGCAGCTGCTGCATGTATGGCATGGGTGGCTGCTGCATGTATGGCATGGGCTGCGTCGGCTCGGATACATAGGATATGGAGGTTGCTGATTATGGCCAGCATACGGATATGCAGGGGGAGGCTGACTTTGGCCCGACTGTTGAGGAGGCTGACTTTGGCCTGATTGTTAGGTTCCCGGGCTATACGGTGGTTGTGGCTGAAATCTTTGAAAAAACCACGCAAACAACTGATTTTGCTTGTTCTCTAGGTCCGAAATCCGTTTATTATTATTTTCATCCCTCATTTTCAACTCATTATTTTGAGTCATCAACAATGCCATTGAACTCTTAGATGATCTCCTGGAGGAAATTGATGTAGAAGATGAAGAAGATGCATAGGACACCATATCAGGAGTCACACCATGACCGTATCCTCTGACTCTATTATGCCTCTCAGGACCCATAGTATCAACATAAACTTGGGTCCTAAGATCTTCATGATCCTTCTGGCCCGACTCAATCAACGTTTACAGATTGCTCTCCATTGTTGCCTTGCATTACAATTTTTAAAAACAAAAATTCAATCGTAAAACAGAAAAATAAGCCATAGATAATAAAAATTAATAAAATGAAATACGAACACGAAAAAATCAATTACCTTTGTACGCTCCGATGTTTCATCAATCCATGTTTTATCTTTTCGTGTATGACATTCACGAAAAAAGGTTACAGGATCTGCTTCTTTCCCATGCTTCTTCCGCTTTATCAGAAATAAAATTTCATACAAACAATTTTAAGCAACCCTCATACTAAAAATAAAATTTATAACTATAGATTATTTAAAATTAATCATTTCTTCAAAATTTACAATCCATACATATTCTTCCCGCACTCTTGCAAAGGATTTTGTACCAGTAGTATGGTTCATTGATTTTAATCCCCGATTAATCTTATTTTTTTTAGCAACCTCCTAGAAAAAAAGAAGATTATATTAGGCAAATTTAAAGTTATAACGAAATAAATCATGTAAGGTTTACCCTTGTTTTGTCTCTATTCCAATATGCCAACAAATCATCCCACTAGGCAGGAATCACATCAGGAGGAGGTTGGCTGCGCACCTCTTCTGCTCTTTTAGTATAATACTTTTTTTTTAACTTATTTCTAAACTCTTTGTGCGCATGCTCCACAATCTTAAGCGTCATATGACGGATCAAAGGCATTTTTACTATATATGGATCTTCAAAAAAAATATTTCCCTACATCCATAAAAACCAAAAACAAAAAAAATCAAGCTAGTCAATTATTATTACAATCATTGACTTATTCTTCTATTTTCAACCAAAAATAAAAACACCTATACCTTTATTCTATTCCAAAAAGCTTCCTTATCTTCTTTCGTAACCTTACGCCAATCTTTCTCCAACGGGAGATTTCTATAGTCTCTAACCTCCGCTGCTACATGTTTTGAAAAAGCACTAGCATTATCACTAATGCATTTTCCGGACGAATCAAACGAACAAAGCTGTTTCGTCCATTTAGGAATTGAGGGTCCACGCCTCCGTTGAGATGTACCTTGTTAATACAAAAACACTATTAAAAACCAGGAAACAAATGTATATTTTCAGTTTAGGCATAATAATAGTTCAAACACACACAAAAAAATAAAAATAAATACTGAGATTAATAACAATTCAAAAAAGAACCAGCATCACCCTCGTCCTCTTCCAAATGAAGTTCCTCAGAACGTTGATCTTCACGAGAATCATCCATAGCAAAATTTAATGGAAGGAGAAGGAATATGGTTGAAATGGGGGAAAGAGTAAGCCTGAAATGGGGGAAAGAGAGGGATAAAACGAGAGAGAGAAGTGGAATCACGGAAGTGATGGGAAATAAAGGAGATTAAATATGGATAAAAACTTAGCGTCGAAATATGAACACATTGCGTCGGTTAAAATCGATACAAAGTCTGACTCGACCTAGACACACGTAACCTGACATACTTTTGACTGAAAGCCTGACATACTTTTCACTGGAAGACCATTGCGTCGGTTAAAACCGACGTTAGCTTGCATAGCGTCGAAGTAAGGTCCTAGTGCGACGCTTAAAACCGACATTATATCTGACTCGACCCATCACAACGTAGCCTGACATACTTTTGACTGAAAGCCTGACATAGTTTTCACTGAAAGGTCAGTAGTGTCGAAATAAGGTCACATTGCGTCGGTTAAAATCGACGTTAGCCTGACATTTTCATAGTGTCGAAATAAGAACAAGTTTATGTCGAAATAAAAACAAATTTGCGTCGAAATAATAACAAATCTGTGTAGTGTCTCTGACAGAAAGACCATCATAGCAGGTAGTCTCGAAAGTGGATAATTTTACATCGGTTAAAACCAAAGTAAGCCTGACCTAACATGACAGTGACTGACAAAGTTCTTCCAATCCATTTCCCCGTGCAAAAAAATCCGGGAAAATTCCCGCCCAACATAAAAAAAAAGTTTTAACTTACAAAAAAGAGGGAACAAGCATAAAAACAAAAACAAAAACAATAAAAAAGTTTAACCCAAAATTAAAAAATAATCAGTTATGTTATCTCATATCATATTTTAATAAATAAATTTATTAAGTTGAATCAAATTTTTTTTGCACTGTAATTGTTATTTTAATTTGTTGTTATTTTGATAATTTTTTGTTGTTATTTACTAGAATGGATTAGATGAACATAATTTGAGTTGTTATGAGAAAATGGAATGAACTTATAATATTAACAATATTAAATATTGTTAAATTAACAATATTAAATATAACATAAACTTATATTGAATATATTAAATATTAAACATAACTTAAACTTATATTAAATATTGTTAAATTAACAATATTAAATATAACATAAACTTATAATATTTAGTAATATAAGAATATATTATGTTAAATTACTTTTTTTTGCACTCTAATTGTTATTTTAATTTGTTGTTATTTTGATAACTTTTGGTTGTTATTTACTAGTATGGATTAGATGAGCATAATCTGAATTGTTATGAGAAAACGGAATGATTAATATTTATAAGCATTTATATTAAATTAACAATATTAAATATAACCTAAACTTATAATATTTAGGAATATAAGAATATATTATGTTAAATTAATTTTTTTTGCACTCTAATTGTTATTTTAATTTGTTGTTATTTTGATAACTTTGATAACATTTGGTTGTTATTTACTAGAATGGATTAGATGAGCATTTCTCAAAAGTTTAAACCTTGCCAATGTAAGTCAAAGCTTGCATTTTATTCCTTTTACAAAATCTTCAATTTTCATTGATCATCATGACATAAAATCTAGTGTAAATATTTTAAATTGAAGATCAAATTCATCCATTGTATTCATATAGGTTCAAAGAGTGTGGCTGTAAAAAATCATCAAAATCGAACTTAAAATAACCATTAAATCGTCATTTTTTGTTGATAACCATCGAAAATTTTTGTCCCGTTACTTGATCTCATAATGTTTGTTTTTTGCAATTTTTTGCATATACGATCTCGATTTATATAAAAACATGTTTAACAGTTGGATCATTGAAATTAGTTTCGTAGAATGCGTATCTCATCAAAACGATAGATTCACTAACACTTAAGAGTTTATTCATACTTTCATTAGGTATAACATAAGATTTTGTGGTATCCACTAGTGCAAATATTTTAAATTGAAGATCGAATTCGTTCATTGTATTCATATAGGTTCAAGTAGTGTCGCTATAAAAAATCATCAAAATCGGACTTAAAATAACCGTTAAATCGTCATTTTTCGTTGATAACCGTCAAAATTTTTTGTCCCGTTACTTCATCCCAGAATGTTTGTTTTTTACGATTTTTTTCGTATACGATCTCGAATTATATACAAACATGTTTGATGGTTGGATCGTTGAAATTAGTTTTGTATAATTCGTATAATAATTATATATATAATTATTATAGTTTTTAGGGGTGTAAAACTGTTAAATTAATATATAATTATATATATAATTATTATAGTTTTTAGGGGTATAAAACTGTTAAATTAATATATAATAATTATTATTAGGGGTATAAAACTGCAAATAATAAAAAATAATCGTCCTTATTTCGCATTAATACATATGATTCACAACAGGTACCTTGTGTCGAAATAGGCTAATATTGCGTCGCATAAAACGGACGTAACGTTAACATTGCATCGAAATAGGCTAAGGTTGCGTCGGTTAAAACCGACGCCAAGTCTGACACAGATGACATATGCCGTCGGTTAAAAGCAACAGGAAACAAGAAAAAAAAAACAGAAATATAATTTTATGATACGATATCATAGCATACCAAATGAAACAGAGTCTAATTAATACAAAAAATAATTAATATATTTATTCCTTGTCATCATCTGTTAGCTCATCGTCGGCATTGGCATGATTAACGAACCCGGTAGGCAACGCTAATGATTCAAGAAAGGGAGTCTCTTCCACGCCAACCCTTGTATGGAAATTTTCATTATCAAGAATTTGATCATCCAAGTTCGGCATGGCATAATCATCAATAGCATCACTATCCTCTAATACATCAAATAAATCTCTTGGCTGAGTTCGAACAACTACGTGCCAATCTTTTTCAATTGTGTCCTCCACGTAAAATGCCTGTAATGCTTGTGATGCTAGTATGAAAGGATCCTCTTTAAATCCCAATTGATTGAAATTCACCATAGTAAATCCATATTGATCGGTCTTAATTCCTCGTGGACTTTCACTATTAACCCATTCGCACTTAAATAACATCACAGCTCGACCCCTATCTCCTGCTTCAGTAGGACCACAATATTTGACCTCGAACATATCTACAACTCTGCCATAACAATTCACTTGCCTAATTGCTCCAAGAACATTTGCAGGTATAAAGACATCACAATTTTGATTCTTATGCTTATCATCCACAGATTTTATACGAAATCTAAATCCATGAACAATGTGACTTTTGTATCTACTCACAACCCTACTAGGATAATTAGCTAGCCAATGCAAGTCTTGAGATATCACTGTGTCATTAGCATCATATCTTGAATTCATCTATAATAAGTATGAAGATAAAAATTGACAGAATAACTATAAACATGTTATAATTAAAATGCAAAACAATAAATAAATAATATGATTGTTATATCAACTCACATGTTGCTTGAACCATTCTGGAAATTCTTTCTTGCTTAGCTCCTTAATTTGTTGCATAGTTAACCTTTCTCGACGATGTTTAGTTTTCAAGAATTCCTCATGTTGCCTACACAATTATGTCCAATTTAGATAATTATTTTTTCAAAGTTAAGATGTATGATTAAACGTTCTTACCTTCTAAATGGGCTAACTTCATCACAATTATTTAGAATGTATCTATGGCAATGATCAAGAACATTTAGATCGAGCTCCACATTTTCTCCTGAACCCATATAACATCCTTTCGAGTCAAAAATTGATAACCCACCAGATACTCCACATCCAATACCATCTTCATTTCGGCCTCTACAGGTACGACGAGATTTAATGTCTCTAAGATACATGGAACAAAAGGACAAGCACTCATCCACCAAATATGCTTCAGCAATAGAACCTTCAGGACAACCCTTATTACGAACATAGCGCTTCAGTGTTTGCAAATACCTACAATTATAAAACGAAATACAAATTATTATAATTATTAATTAAAGTTATGACTACAATTGTAAAAAATTTATAAAAATTTATTCATTACCGTTCAATTGGATACATCCATCTATATTGAACAGGCCCTGCAAGAGCTGATTCATCTGCCAAGTGAACTAGGAGGTGCACCATTATATCAAAAAATGCAGGAGGGAATATTTTTTCAAGTTGACATAATGTCAAGGCAATTCTTGAATTCAGTTGCTTAAATCCTTCCTCAGACTCCTTCTTACTACACAACTGTCTGAAAATTGCACTCAAACTCTAATAAAACCATAGTAACAGCTTTAGGCAAAACCGGGCGTATTGCAAGTGGGAGTAACTGCTGCATTAAAACATGGCAATCGTGACTTTTCAATCCATGTATTTTTTGTTCATTCACCTGCACACATCGCGATAGATTTGATGAATATCCATCGGGAACCCGAATAGTAGACAACACTTTACAAAACGCAGCTTTTTCTTCTCTTTTCAATGTGAACAATGCTGGAGGTCGAAATGTTCTATTTCCTGCTCTACATGGGTGTTGACTATGTCTTATTTTCAAGAATTCAAGATCTGCACGTGCAGCCAATCTATCTTTAGACTTTTCTATATCTAGCAATGTTCCCACCACACTATCACATATATTCTTCTCGATATGCATAACATCAAGATTGTGTCTAATCAACAGATGCCTCCAATAAGGTAGTTCATAAAAAATAGATTTCTTCTTCCACTGACTGTTACTACTTGTACTGCTCGAAGTTCTTCTTCTGCGTTGCCCAACTGAAGCATCTTTGTTTGGTTTTCCAAAAGTAGATCTTAATGTAGAAAGTTCTTCGAGACATTGTAAACCAGTCCACTGCCTTGGTGTACTACGATGCTCTCGACGACCATTAAAAGTGATGGTTTGCCTTCGAAACCTATGATTATCTTCAAGAAAACGTCGATGCCCCATATAACAAATCTTACGACTCGCTGGCAAGTAAATAGATTCTTTATCATGCATGCAATGTGGACAAGCTTTATAGCTATGTGTACTCCATCCTGACAACATTCCATAAATTGGAAAATCACTTATAGTCCATAACACGGCAGCCTTCATCGTAAAACTTTGGTTGGAATACGCATCATAAGTGGGAATGCCCACCTCCCACAACTCATTCAGCTCGTCAATCAATGGACGCATGTATACATCAATCTCTTTACTAGGACTGCGCGGTCCTGGTATTAACAGAGACAACAACAAATTTGGTTGCTTCATGCACATCCAAGGTGGCAAATTATAAACAGAAAACACCACATGCCATGTGCTATGATCATTCCTCATTTTCCCAAAATGATTAAATCCATCACTGGCCAACCCTAATCGGACATTTCGAATTTCTGACGCAAAATCCGGATATAAATTATTCAAATGCTTCCATGTTGGAGAATCTGAAGGATGTCTCATAAATTCATCCTTAGGACATTCAGTTGCATGCCACCTCATATGTTCAGCCATATGCTTCGACATAAAAAATCGTTGCAATCGTGGTTTTGAAGGAAAATACCACATAACCTTAGCTGCGACCTTTTTCCTCGAGCTATCCTCTGCATTGGTAATTTTATATCTTGATTTACCACAAACCGAGCACACGGTCAAATCTGAAGTATCTTTCCAATAGATCATGCAATTATTGGGACATGCATCAATTTTCACATACGACAGACCCAAGTCATTTATAAGTTTTCTTGCCTTATAACAAGATTCAGGCAAACAATCCCCTTCAGGCAACATTCTTTTAATTAACTCAAGTAAAGTGGTGAAGATCTCGTCAGGCATTCCCGCTAAACACTTGATCTGATACAGTCTTACAACTGCTTCCAATTTCTTAAACTCCTTACAACCTGGCCACAAATCTTGATCTGCCTCTTCAAGCAACTTAAAAAAAGTTTGCACCTCTTCTGGACGCCTTTCCCCAAAAGGGGGTTCAATAGATGGCCCAACACCTTCTTCTGTTAATGGTTGGACAAATACATCATTAAGAAAATCATGCATGCCAATCACCTCATCTCCTGTTTCTTCTTCTCCAATTGCCACATTTTGCTCTCCAATGTTTTGCTCACCATGATGTCGCCAACAAGCGTTTTTATAATCTTTATCCATATCATACAATATGAGATGTTCGACAATAGTGTTCCTAACAAAAGTATATCGATTACAACATCTTTTGTAAGAACATCTAAACTTATTAGGACCAACACCATTTGCAACTGCTTGATCCAAAAACAAATTAATTCCAGTTGTATACGCTTCAAAATTTCGGGGTATTGTCAACCAACTCTTGTCCATGTTTTACCACTTTACGAAGGCAAAATATTACGTTGACACTAAGATGCCTACAATCTTTCAATCCCTATCATGTAGGCATAACTATCAGAATTTTCAATTTCTATCTTTCACCCCTCGAACTCTATCACGATTGCAATCTTTTAATTTTCAACACCTATTATAGTAAAAACAAATTAAAATAACAACAAAAAGTTATCAAAATTATGCTCATCTAATCCATTCTAATAAATAACAACCAAAAGTTATCAAAATAACAACAAATTAAAATAACAATTAGAGTGCAAAAAAAATTAATTTAACATAATATATTCTTATATTCCTAAATATTATAAGTTTAGGTTATATTTAATATTGTTAATTTAACATAAATGCTTATAAATATTATTCATTCCATTTTCTCATAACAATTCAAATTATGCTCATCTAATCCATACTAGTAAATAACAACCAAAAGTTATCAAAATAACAACAAATTAAAATAACAATTAGAGTGCAAAAAAAATTAATTTAACATAATATATTCTTATATTCCTAAATATTATAAGTTTAGGTTATATTTAATATTATTAACTTAACCTAAATGCTTATAAATATTATTCATTCCATTTTCTCATAGCAATTCAAATTATGCTCATCTAATCCATACCAGTAAATAACAACCAAAAGTTATCAAAATAACAACACATTAAAATAACAATTAGAGTGCAAAAAAAAATTAATTTAACATAATATATTCTTATATTACTAAATATTATAAGTTTATGTTATATTTAATATTGTTAATTTAACATAAATGCTTATAAATATTATTCATTCCATTTTCTCATAACAATTCAAATTATGTTCATCTAATTCATTCTAGTAAATAACAACAAAAAATTATCAAAATAACAACAAATTAAAATAACAATTAGAGTGCAAAAAAAAAAAATTTAACATAATATATTCTTATATTACTCAATATTCTAAGTTTATGTTATATTTAATATTGTTAATTTAACATAAATGATTATATATATTATTCATTCCATTTTCTCATAACAATTCAAGTGACAAAATTAATTAATTCGACTAAATTTTTATTAATTTAACAAAAATAGTAGAAATTTATCTAAGTGCTTAAATTATAATTTTTAAATAAATAAACTTGTGTATTATACAATTTAAAAACTAAAGAAGTTAGTGATACAAACCTGATTTGTTGAAGAATTCCGATGTCAACAATTCTTTATGTACTCAACCAGCTCAAATAAATTTCCTACAAAAATAAATTGTAACTAAAAATTAAACATAAGAGGAGAAAATAAAAATATTATAAGCAAGAAAAACTTACTGTTGTGAAGAAGGAACAAATGAAGTTATAAGACCAAATAAGAAAGGTGAAAGAGAGAGAACACGGGGAGGCTTTGAAAATTGGAAGAACGAATAAGAAAAGTACAAGAGAGAAAAAGAAAACATGGGGGAAAGGATATAAAGACCATCAATCTGTCCCTTACAACCGACACCAGGTTTCAAAGTATTTTAAAAAATAAAATATATGTCGCTCAGAACCGACGCAGGCTTTAAAATATTTAAAAACAAGAATTAGTGTCGCCTAGAAGCGACACCCATAATTTATGTCGCTTAAAAGCGACACTATTTTATTTAAAGCGATGCCAGTACTTAAAAATATTAAAATATGTGTCGGTTATAAGCGACATTAAATTTTTACATCGGTTTAAAAGCAATATAGAAATTTTATGACGCTTATAAGTGACAGTAAATATGACGTCATCTTCAGTGGGTGTCGCAAGTCTCTCTTTCGCCACTATATTATATTTAACCGACGCAACAACTGACACTATAAGGTCCTTTTGTAGTAGTGTACAACAGAATGGTTAGTGTAATGACAAGTGTCATATTATGATTAGTTGAGGTAGAGTGTTAGTTACAAATGTAAAGGATGGTATAAGCTATAAATACCATAAGGATGTATTTATCAAAGTAAGAGGAAAGATAAAGAAAAGTGAAGTATTTCAAATAATTGCTTTGAAGCTTTCTCTCTCTGTATTTGTTGATTTCTTGATTCCTCATTGTTAACACTGCCTACCTAAGAAGCCATGGATGAAAACCAAAGAAGAGCTTCTACTCACACGAGAACCCTTTACTTGTACTGGTGAGTGGTAATAGGGCTTTTCTGTAAAGAACATATATATTTCTTGTGAGCAGGGACCTTCTTTACCTCGATTTACACCCTAACTAATTTCCACCTATTAAGGGCATCAGCTGGTAACCGTAATATCCTAGTTTAGACTCCAAAGTGGGTTATTGTCACATCCCGGCCCGGGTGGGACCACTTCCCGGGCCCGCTCCTCCACCGTAGCACGATATTGACCACTTTGGGCTTACCATTCCCTCACGGTTTTGTTTTTGGGAACTCACGAGCAACTTCCCAGAGGGTCACCCATCCTGGGAGTGCTCTAGCCCTCTTCTCGCTTAACTTCGGAGTTCCTACGGAACCCGAAGCCAGTGAGCTCCCAAAAGGCCTCGTGCTAGGTAGGGATGGGAATATACATTTAAGGATCACTCCCCTGGGCAATGTGGGATGTCACAATCCACCCCCTTTAGGGGCCCGACGTCCTTGTCGGCACATTTCCGGCCAGGGATAGGCTCTGATACCAATTTGTCACAGTTATCCACCACGAATCCGGATCCCCTTTGTGGGGATTCCGGAGATCTATGAATTATATCCGTTCATCGTACATCGTGCGGCCAATTTTCATCAGGTACTGTTTGTGTTCAATTTTAAATAATTTTTTTTAAAATAATTTTTTTTAAAATAATTTATGACTGCACGATATACGATGAACATACACGATTCACAGATCCCCGGATCCTTACAAAGAAGATCTGAAGAGGATCCTCATTCATCCACCACCCTAAAGGCTAGCTTGGAGTTACTGTGCTGTGAAATAAAACGTTGTTTTCAAAAGCAAGGATAGAGCTACTTCTGCTTTCTGCTATTTTGGACCCATGATTTTAACAAAAAGTTTTTTTTCTTTTCTTTTTTCATTTACCAAACACAACCTTAACCCCAGCTTTTACAAAAAATTGTTTTTAAAATAATTTCAACAATGTCAAACTAGCCCTAACATGTCCTCCTTTTTAAGGGTAATGTTTGATTCAAATATTAACTCTAATTAATTCTTAATTTAACAATATATTTAAACTTATCATAATTAGTTAAGTCCAATTAGCTAGGTTCAAACACGGAGACTCTTCAATCAAGTGAAAACAACTACTAGACTAAAGACTAATTAAAAGTGACTTCGTTTGAATTCTTCAAAAACGAATGAAACACGATGATAAAAAAAAACCCATCGCAATTTACGTTGGCCCAGCAGAAATTTAAGTTCTTTAGTTGATCAGCTAGTACATATCAACTAGCATAATTGATTTCCAATCCCTTATTCAAAGTTTGTGACTAATTCATCTTTTTACCTTCAACATAGACAGTTTAGAAGTTTACATTCAGTTCTTCATTCAACATAAAATCTAGTGAGTATTCCAATCTGATACACCAAACAAAACCCTAACATTAGTAATGATTGCAACAGCTTTGGCAGGTATAGCTACTAAATAGACTCAACTAGTCATGTCTTTTTTTTTTTTTTTTAACAAACGATATATCTACACTAAAGGAGTGAGATAAGCTTTATAATAGGCTTGCCATAATAATGTGGTTCAAATTCGTCTTTGACGACAACGAACCTAGGACCTCTTACTTACAAGTGAAAATGAATATCACTATATTGTAGTACTAAGTGGCGATTAGTCATGTCTTTAAGCAAGGACAGTGATTTTAGTGATTGACCTGGACAAAACAGAAAGAAACTTCTATTAGTAGGCCCTCTAAGACTCATACATCTAGTTTTGAATAGCCACTGGTTGTGCTTCTTCACCAAGCCATAAGTCATGGTGGACTCTTTCAACCACCTTGATTCCCAGTAATGACTTGTAGAACTACGTTTTATTTTGCTTCATTAACATGTATAGTTACAGATCCATCTGGAAGATACGTACATTGAGTAAGTCCCAAGTTCCGTAGAGATTGAGGACGTGATAATTACGGTCCCGAGTTGTAATGGTTAGCATATAGTTAGTGTAATGTTGGTATACTAGCTAGGTAATGTTTTCTCCTCAGACTTACATTGTTTGATGATATTTATTTTATTTTGTCTGATTTTGAAAATGAACCAGGTCCGCGAAAGAATTAGCAACACGTCATAACTAAGTTATGGCAGGTATCCTCTGCAAGGTTTGCTCAATCAATTCACTAGTCTCCTCTCCAAGTCTTCCTCCTCCCTGCCAATAAAAGGACGAAAACATCTCATTTTTTTCAACAACAAAAACTTAGAAGCCATGACCATGAGCAAACAAAAAGTGCTTCTGCAACCTATCATCCTCCTAATAGTAACAGAGGTACTATTAGCAGCAGCCACTTCAGCCCAAAGACAATATTTAACCTCTCCACCTCTTCATTCTCCTCCTCCTCCTCCCGGTCAAGAAGAAGTGAAGCCGGGTTGTCAATACATGTGTGGGAATGTTAAAATCCCATATCCATTTGGTACAAAAGAGGACTGTTACTTAAATGAGGATTTCCTCATTACTTGTAATAGCACACATTATGACCCCCCAAAACCATTTCTTAGAAAGAGTAATATGATTGTCACAAACATATCCGTGGATGGGAAGCTTTACATTACCCTAGACACAGCCACACAATGTTACGAAAAATCAGGCCAGCTGAGGGCCGGCTTCACCAACTCTCTTGCTCTTTCCAAATTCTTCATATCAAACACCGACAACGTGTTTGTCGCAGTTGGTTGTGACACCTATGCGTACATTATGGGATACGAAAATGGAAAATACGGGTACACTGGTGGGTGCACTACAATGTGTGACAGCATTGACTACGTTGTCGATGGTTCTTGCACTGGTATCGGCTGTTGTAAAACACC